TTTCGACATTCATTTTTCTCAATGTACAAGATCTTAAACTAAGAGTAAAACAAATTAAAAAGCAAAGAAAAAAACTTCGTTGCCTAATATTTACTAATTTAACAATCCATACCTTCGTCTACTACCAAAAAATAAGTTCTTTATTTGAGTTTCTCTTGCTTGTCTACAAAGTACGGAATTTCACCATATTTGTTAACGTACACCCTATTCAAGGTGAAACAAGTTGCTTCTCATTTAACTTCCGAATTACTTCGCGGATTACCGAATTACTTTGACAGTTTATAAAGCAAGACATGAACTTTCTAATTTTTTTTGTCTCACACTCTCGGAATTCGTATTCGTGGCTCCGAATTCAATCTTGTGACAGAAAATCGTTACTTTAATAAGACTTTCTTATGATAAGATGATCTTCAAAATCAGCCAATCATAATAAAGCCCGCTATGCTACCTAATACAGTATACTAGTTGGTTAAATACTGGTTGAATTTGTGCATTATTATTATATATAGTATATAGATTATATACTGAATAGATGCTCTTATTATTGTAAATTTCAGTTAAATATAAATTTTTATTTATGCAATACAGTATATAAATATATTGCACCCCGGAAGTTGGATTTAGGCATTACACAGGAGTGTGGATCTAGATTTATCCTTATTTTTTTTATTTTTTATTTTTTTAGATTTTTTGTTTTGTTTTTATTACTTGTTAAATTTTTTTTTCTCTATTTTATATTCTTTTTATTAGTTATAATATTGTTTTTTGTTTTTTGTAGTTTGAAGTTTATTGTAGACAACTAAGGCCAAACTATATTATATTTTTAAATAAAAAAAAAATTAAAAAAATCTAACTAGTAACTTTATATTAAAAAAATTAGATAAGTGCAAATCTGCAAAAATTTCAAAAATGAAAATTTTTTATACAGTCAATACTATCTAAATGTATAATTTTTTAAAAAAATTTATTAATAATATGCATTTAGACAGTTGGTTTTCTGGTATTTGATTAGTTGATACTATATAAATAAATAAAATTAATTTTTTTTTGCTTTTTTCAATAGTATGTATTTAGATAGTATTAACTATATTTTAAAATTTTATATAGAGTTATATTTAATTTTTGTAGCTATAGCTAGTAAGTCTAAAGTTTTGTACAAATTTTTATTTTAATTTATTATTTAATTTTTTTGCAAATCTGTACAAAACAGCACTAAAAAATTTTTCCAATATATAAAGCTACTATATATAGTTAATTTTCTCTAAGTGCAGCTTGCTAAAATTTATAAAATTTTTTTAAATAAAAAAAAAAAAAAACCTGCATTAAAAAAGAATCTGCATTTAGAAAACATAAGTTTATTATAACTTTATATAGCTTGGGACCAAAGAAACCTGCATTTAAAAAGAATTTAATATAACCTGCACTTAGAGAAAGTTAACTATATTAGCTTTATACAGTATATATTATATAAATATTTTTTAAACTTTTATTACTGTATTATAAAAAGTTATTAAAAAGAAAACTAATAATAGTAAATCTGAGGGACCAACATGAGGTTGGTTCCAACGTGAGGTCAATTAGTATTTAAAGTCCGCCAGTGATTAATAATCATAAAAAAAACACTAATTGACCTCACGTTGGACCAACCTCATGTTGGTTCCTCACAGTAAATATAAAAATTAATAAAATAATATATCAGCTAATAACCAGATTATTTAAATTTTGAATAAATGATCTGGTTATTTACTATTACTGTTAATAAAATGAATTTATAAAAAAATATTCGATAGAGTTAACTGTATATTGCACAAAATTTCTGTTTACAAATAAATTGCCATTTACTTCATTTACTTAAAAATGTTATTGGCCACTTTAGTCGCACAGATCAAAATAGGAATTGTGAAACTGCGGTATATGTCACGTGTAACAAGTAATCACACAAATTAGCCCATATGCATCTCAACGTTCTTTGTATAAAGTAAAGCTTATACTGTAGCGCTACTATAAACTAGGCCTTTTCTTCTCTCCTTTTAGAATTTCAATTACTGCGAACAACATCTATCACTACCTTTTTACAGTCGAGTTATTTCAATATGGATAGAATTGACATGAGTCTGGACGACATCATCAAGACTAACAAAAAGAAACTAAAACAGGGAACAAAAGTCATCGCTAACGGCAACAATAGCAATGCAAACAACGGTAGCCCTAACAATAAGAACAGAACAGGACCCATTAGAGCTAGATCTACAGGGAAAAAATTGACACGGCAGAAGGCCAACCCATATCCGGTAAGAATCCAAACAGCTTCGTAAGGAAACACTGGGAAAATACTAGTTGATCGAGTTTTGGTCGACAAATGGGCAAAACACGTCATACTGTTCTCCCAGAAGAAAACGTCGAAACATTATTTTTGGGTCTTTTGCGTTCTTCCTGACGGGGTTTTCGCATTTGGAACATGTACAAGACTGATCAAACCCAACTACGGCTGTTTTGATACCTTGCCATTCAGAAACCAAAAATTAATAAAACAGGAAATTCTAACGGCGTTTGGCGGCACGATCTCTTCCCTACCCTTCTTCCTGGCAGCAACCAAACCAAACGAACGGGTGCGCTTAATGGGTCCTCTATTCAGCACCGCTTAGGCACCGGTAAACCCCTTGTAGGTAGTGGTGTTGCAAGCAGATTGTCTATTAAAGGTGTTGCCGGTGTTAAGCAGTCTGAATTCTCCTTCAAAGGTGAAGGTGGACCTGCCACTATTATTATCAGTAATTTAGCGCCTGGTACAAGCGCCAACGATATCAAGGTAATGAGCATTAAAAAACGTTAAAAAAAAAATAAAATGGAAAGGTAAAAATTGACGAGTATTCTAACAGTTTAAATTTAATTATTTCAGACTGTATTTATGGAATTTGGCGACATTTCTACGGTGGACATGAGAGAAGAGAGACACTTCCGTGGGGCACCCGTAACAGCCGAGCTCACCTTCGAAAGCAAGGCCTCCGCACTTACTGCTATAAATAAATATAACACAGCTCTCGTAGATGGTAATAAACTTTAGTCTAATAAATTTTATTGTTTTTTTTGATACACAAGATGGTAATTGAACTTCATTATCTCTTTAAGGTCGTGTGCTTAAAGTTCAATTTAAGCAATCTAATACAAATGCTGGAGTCGCTTCATACCGAATGAGAAACAAGGTCAAACCGCAGCTCGCCTCTTCCGCACGGTAAGTGATAATAATGCTTACATGCATTAATATCGTAAGATTGACATTTTCAATATTTATAAAGTAGAAATGGAAGGCTTTATTCTGACCAGTTGGTTTCCGGTATCCAAAGGAATAGACGTTCCGGTGGCAAGGGAAAACAACCTTCTTTTACATTTTAAATACGGAGGATCTAGACGTTTCCGAGTTCATTGTTCGTCTTAACCGAATCGAATTCGATGTGATTTGAACAGGATAAATGGAACAATTAGAAAGAAAAGTGCCCACGTATTCAGCTGATTGGTGGTTGGGTTTCTCCCTTTCCTTGGAGTATTATACTTTACTTCCATTCAAATTCCCTTTTTTTTTTTTTTTTTTGACACACATATACATATATATATAATTATCGTATGATTATATTTACTTTGAGTGCAAAATGCTTCGATATTTTATCATTCCCAAACAATGTCATTATAATTTGGTTAGAATGCTCGTTCATTTACCATTTATTAATGATAATCAATGTCGGCAAAAATCATATCCCAGATTTTCTTTCTATTAATAAAAAAATATGATTCTTTAAAAACCCTTAAAACCAAAAACTCACACTGAAACTGACATCTAGTGACCGAACATAATGCCACCACCCGGGCTTTTTAACAAACTAAATCAGTAACCTATGAATTTGAGCCGTTTATAAAAGACAGAATAAATGATTACTCACAGGAATGTATAATAATTCACCAGGTTTCAAAATACATTCTTGATATAGTGCAGAGGAAAATAATGGAAATTGGTTAAGATCAGGACTTTCTACTTCGACCTTGGTATATAATAAAATTATTATAATAATTCATATAGAGAGTTGTGGGTCCAGAATTTTGATATTACCAACCTGGCTTGTGTTACCTAACAAACCATCCTGTTCAAAAGGATATAATTTAGATGTTTCAATTGGTGAATATAATCTAATATACTTTTGTCCAACAACTTGTGCCAAAAGGTTATGATATGGATCTGTGTGCATTGGTGAGATAGTGCCCTTGGGACCAAACCATGCATTTGTAATAACTTCTTGAGGTGGAAAATATTGCATATTTTCGGAACTAGAATCACCATCTTCCCCAATGCCTATAATAAATGGTTTAGTATCTACAAAGCAATAATCAGGAATCACAATATCATCTTTTAGACGCGGAATTTGCGCGAATAAGTCATGCTGTGCTAAATAAGCAATATTATCATCATCATTATCAGAATTTTTAACCCAATTTTCAATAAATTCACCAAAATTCATTAATTTTTGTGTCCATGTTTCATCAGTATACTTAGCACCAATTTCTATGGGGACTATTCGTTCTTTTCCAATTATATTTAAAAGATAATCGAGATTACTCCAGGGCCTTGTCGAAAGTGCGGGCCAATGCGATATACAGGAGTAAATTATAAAAGGAGTAGGGTTTGTTGACGTAACATGCGATGCGAATGTAGTTAAACTAGGTTGTGATATTTTGGGCAACGGATTATTTATCATTGGGATGCTATGGACTTTGGTCACTTTAGCTTTGGACTTTTTATGAGGTATATTTTTTATAGAATTACCATCTATAGTACGTTTAAGTGAAGTGACTTGAACGGTCGAATGATCATTTATTTGTTCAAGTTCTCTTAAAATTTTCTCAGTTTCTTCAATAAGATTAAAAAGCATTTCTTTCCTATTATTCCCAGGTGCACCAGTCATTACTAAAGCCATATCTAAAGTTTTTATAACTTGTTTCCAGGAATTTTTATCCTTGACATTTAGTACTAAAAAAATTTCACACACACTTTTTAGTAGACTGGCGTCGGTATGTAACCGTCTCCAAGAAATCGGCACATCTTTGTATGGATATGCGTGTAGCTTTTCTACGGCGTAATCAACCAATGAAGTTGCTTTTACTAAAATCATGGGAATTTCTTCAGAAGCTACGTGAGATACCTCTTTGAGGCATTGATAAAGTAAATAAATGGTGGCCTTGTCACAATGTATAAAATCTAGAATTTTACGCGATTTATTTCAGAAAAAAGGTATAACTTGTAAACTTTAACGAATTTTTATAAATTACTGACCATTTTTTTCCGTGTTTGAATCGGAATTATGAGTTTCAAGCAACTTTGTGATAACAGAATTGCAAACTTCCTTTATAGAAGAAGAAGCCATTAAAATACTGACGGTTAATTAAATTAAATTACGCGGTTAACTTAAATTACGCGGCCAAGCACAAGTTTCGGCCAATTAGACAATAGATACAGTATTTGATATACATCAACTAATAAAAATTGATTTTTAGAGTAATAATATACAGTATATATATTTAAAGATTTTTTAACTGTAGTACACAAAGATTGATATGTCTTCAAAAGTATATTGAAGAATCCAAATGGCGTGATGGCACGTATCATTGCGTCAATTCTGCAATTGGTGGATTATAATCATATTTCACAACTAAAAAATCATATTTCATTCTATATACGTATCTATAATAAATATTACAAAGAACGATTTAATACTTTTCGTTTAATTTGCACGCCTCATCTTATAACGATAAATCATGTAATACGTATTCGAAAATTTTTTTTGGATGGCGATTTTTTTTACCCGGCCGATTTGTATCAAAAATCGCTAATATCTTAAAATTTTACTATGAAAATTAACCTAAGGCCTTAAGTAAAAATGTTCAGTACGCAATTTTACACCTTCTTGAATAGAAACCCTAACCCTAATTTAATATAATAAAAATGAGTCATTATGCCCGCAGAAACTTCCTATAAAAAAAATATATAGATAAATATGCAATTACTGAAATTACTGCGGTTCTTTGAGTTTCCAAGTTACAGAATTCATGACTCAACTTGACTCGATCTTAAACTTTATGCAGTATTATATACAGTCCCATACGTAGATGATATATATCAGATATGATCACAAGACTCTAGGTCACGATTTAAAAAATTTTATCACTATATAAATTTGGTCAATTTAGCCATTTCTGCCATCTTTGAATTCTCGATTTTTTTTTTTCTTATCTCGCGCACTATCTAAAATGTCCGCAAGTGACGCAGTAACTGCTGAAGAAAAAGTTGATATAGATCCTTCAACACTAAATCCACTTTCTCCTGAAGTAATTTCGAGACAGGCAACTATTAACATTGGTACGCGCCGTCTTTTATTATTAAATAATGTTAGCATTTTGTATTTTTATCTTAGAATATAACGCCATTTGCTTCGTAGGTACTATTGGGCATGTGGCTCACGGAAAATCTACAGTCGTCAAAGCAATATCCGGAGTTCAGGTATGGCTTCATATGATCGTGTTTATTTCCTTTACAAAATTCCTCACATTTTAACGTTTAAAAAAGACCGTTCGCTTCAAGAATGAGCTTGAACGTAATATTACTATCAAATTAGGTTATGCAAACGCAAAAGTAAGTTTTACTTTTAATTGTGAATGTTTTACTCTTTTAATCATTTATGTTCATCAGAATATTCGCTTCAGATTTATAAATGCGATAACGAAGAATGTCCTAGACCAGGATGCTATAAATCATACCGTAGCGACAAGGAAGACAATCCGCCTTGTGAAAGAGCTGGATGTGGTGGAAGAATGAAACTTTTAAGGTAATACGACACGTGACACTACTGTATACCAATTATAAATCTTTAACTTTGCAAATTTCATTAGGCACGTTTCTTTCGTGGATTGTCCTGGCCACGATATTCTTATGGCTACTATGTTGAACGGTGCCGCAGTGATGGATGCTGCACTTCTTTTAATTGCCGGCAATGAATCATGCCCACAACCTCAGACTAGTGAACATTTAGCTGCAATTGAGATTATGAAATTGAAGCATATCATAATTTTACAAAATAAAGTGGACTTATGTAAGGAAAGTGCATGTGAAGAACATTATCAGAGTATTTTATCTTTTGTAAAAGGTAAATTACTTTATCTATATTCTCTTTTTATAGAAATATTATCGAAATTTTGTTAATTAACTCTTTCATTTACTCTTTCATTTTTTAATTTATTTATTAGGCACTGTCGCTGATGGCGCACCAATCGTACCTATTTCTGCGCAATTAAAATATAACATTGATGCTATCAATGAATATATTGTGAAAAAAATTCCGATTCCTATTCGCGATTTTACTTCAGATCCTCGATTAATTGTTATTCGTTCTTTTGACGTTAATAAACCCGGTGCTGAAGTTGACGATCTAAAAGGTGGTGTTGCTGGTGGTTCAATTTTGCGTGGTATATTAAAGGTATTAGTAATATATTTAATAGATCGATTTAAAATTTGTTTCTTTAAGAACTAGTTTTTTTTTATTAATTATAGTATTTCTGAAAGGTTGGTGATGAAATAGAAGTGCGCCCAGGGATACTTACTAAAGACAACGAAGGTCAAATACATTTTCGTCCCATATTTTCGCGAATAGTTTCATTATTTGCAGAACATAATGACTTAAAATTTGCTGTTCCCGGTGGTTTGATTGGTGAGAAATTTATTCATATTTTGAATTGTCAATTGTTTGTATCTATCATTCATCATTTGATATATGCCTCGAATAGGTGTTGGCACTAGAATTGATCCAACTCTTTGCCGTGCGGATCGATTGGTTGGTCAAGTACTCGGAGCTGTTGGCAAGTTGCCTAACATTTATACTGAACTAGAAATTAATTATTTCTTGCTCAGAAGGTTATTAGGTGTTAAAACAGATGAGAAAAAACAGACAAAGGTGATTACATATTCCTGCATGTAGTTTCTGTGCTTTATGATTAAATTTGCTAAATGTTATAATATAGGTGTCAAAACTTGCCAAAAACGAGGTATTGATGGTTAACATAGGTTCTACCTCGACGGGCGGCCGCGTTATGTCAGTTAAAAGTGATGCAGCTAAAATTCTATTAACAAGTCCTGCTTGTACCGAGGTCGAAGAAAAGATTGCCTTATCGCGTAGGATTGATAAACATTGGCGGTATTGTATTTGTATTATAAGTTTTGAAGTAATGATTTATATGCACTGAAAATTAACTGATATTCTCGCTATTTAGACTAATTGGATGGGGTAAAATTAAACGAGGCGTTACTATCGAACCAGATCCTTAAGCGCATTTTAGATTTAATTTTATCAAAACTAAAATATAAACTTCTGCATTGCTCTCTAATTATTTCGTTTTCATAGATCATCCTATTTATTAATTCTTTTTTGTTTTTTATTGTTGAGATATACATCAAGCTTTTATAACTTATATTTGCATTTTGCAAAAATTAGGTAAAAGATCTTTAAAAAAAAACATGATTATCCAATAGAGACACGAGCATATTCATTCAAACATCTCAAGTTATATTTGTATTGCTAATGAGTATCGCTCAGTAAACGGAAGAGAGTAAAACAATAATAAAAAAATTAGCATTCCATCTACTTCATAACTGATCAATTAGATAACACAGGTCAAATTTGATAAGATTTCAGTGAGATATCATCGGAATATCGGACGTTTATGAAGCTGATAGCGATCAGATATTTGGCACGTATTGCAACCTATTAGACATATGATACTTCTATCATAAAATATCAGATATTTGATATTTTGTTAATAGATGTGTCAGATCTCTAATATGCCTATCGGATGCAATAGGTAGCGATACGCGTCAAATATCGGGTAGTTATCAGCTTTATAAACGTCTGATATTTCACTAATTTCTCAAAGAAATCTTGCCGAAATTTTGAAGTTCGCCTGTGTAAGCATAATGAATGGATAATATATATGTCACTTATTTATTAAATGAATGTTGCCGAGTAAAACTTGTAAGTACTGATTTTAAGTTTTATCAGACTAAAACCAGATATTTTGAGTTACTGTTATGAAGATTGGGAAGGTGATATTTTATTATATACAGTACACATTTCTAAATTATTTGAAATAATTATATATTGGGAGCTTACTACTTATTACAATAGAAAATAATATACTATACAGTATATGATTTGGAATTGAGCTAATAAAACCAGCAAATGCTGTATTTTTTGATTAGAAGGTATAATATATCTATATAAATAACATCATCTTTTTTATTTAAAAAAATAATATTTTTGAATACTCTTGTTTTTGTTGCTTAAAGTTATTGTATAAAAAAAATTTTTATTTAAATATAAGTGATAATTGTCCGGAGCGAAGCGGAGGACACTCTGTTTTTACGATAGACTGTGATCATCGAGATCACGTGGAGTTGTCCTTCCGTCCGCTTTTATGAATGCTGATTGGCCGAATATTTCGATTTGTACTGCTTCCTTTTAGTACTATACAGCTATATGCACTTTTATGCTCCGGACTTTTACTGGTTTCCAGTTCCTAGTTGTAAAGTAAAATCATAAAGATATACTGTATATTTTAAATTTTTTTTTTTTTATTAAATGGTTTCAAGTTAAAATACAGGAATCCACTCGAATATTCACCGAATAACTAAGCACCCCCTCGGAGCAATTTTTATAGCCAAAATTCTCGTGATCTAGTGATTGGATCTGTATAATTTTGGTACTATTCAAATCATTTTAACAAGTCGATTCGAATGGTGCCAAAATTATGCAGATCCATTCACTAGATCGCGAGAATTTTGGCTATAAAAATTGCTCCGAGGGGGTGCTTATTTCGGAGGAATACGGTATTCGATGATTTATTATTCGAATCAACCGATTTATTCGGGAATAATATATAGTTTTTGGATGTGATGCAAAAATAACTGGAGTTTCAGATGGCCTTAACAAAACTTATTCGGATATTCGTATTATTTTCTGAAAATTTTATTCGAATACGAAGAATTAGTTAAATTATTAGCGTTAGCTAATTTTATTGAACACGCGAGAATGAATTTTGTTAATACAGGAGTAACTACGGTAAAATTATGTTAATCAAATTTGTTAGTTTGGTATAGCTGGTATATTATCGGTTCGGAATAGAAAGAGGAGACTGTATTTTCGTTTTATTTTATGTATTAGTCTAATAGTTCTTGCTCTAACGTTATTGTTGCACCCTTAGCTTCTCGATTTTCTTGAAGTTCTAATGATTTATATCGTTAAGTTAATAAATTTGATTTGAATTTGAAACCATTAACCGAGAATGGGACATATATTTGGGTTTTTGTTATTATCCCAAATTAAGTATAGTAGAAATCCCGATTCCCAAACCCAAACTATATACAGTGGTGGGAAGTAAATGTAAATCACCGGAATTATTAATAAAACATAGTAAAAATTAAAATTTTTATTTTTTTTATTATATATAAAAATTTTTAAATAATTTTTTAAAAATATATTGGTTGATACAAAATTAAATTCAATACTTAAAGTTTATAAAAAATATTTTTTAGACTTTTTAAAATTTTTTTTGCTCATTGAGAAAAATCAAGATTATAAATTTCTATAATATTATGATAATATTACTTATAAAATTTATAATCTTAATTTTCTCAAAGAGAATATAACTTGCAAAAAAATCCAAAAAAAAATATTTTTTATAAACTTTAAGTATTGAGTATCAACCAATACATTTTTAAAAAATTTTTATATGTAATAAAAATTTTAATTTTTACTATGTTTTATTAGTAATTTACTTCCTGCCACTGTAGTAATGTCATAAAAAAAAAAGATTGGGTCGCAGCCCTAGCTATTACCATTTGGGTTGTCGGGGACAAAAAAATCTGAAAATCTCAACGGCCGAATATCCATTCCCTATTAAACAATAATTGTTGATTTTTTTAAATAAAGTTAATAAAGAAAAAAAATTTTAACCAACTAAACAGTAAATACCTTTGGATCAATATCCTTCAACTCGCCCCCTGGAGTAGCATGATCCCGCATATATTCTCTAATTGGAATCATAGCGGCATTCCGACATGCTTCTTTCAAGTCACTTCCTTTTGAAAATATAAAACTTAATATTATATAAAAAGGAAGACATTATAACATATATAAGAGAGTACCAGAAAAATTGGTTGTTTGAGACACTAGTTTGTCAAAGTCAAAATTTTCTTCCAGATTCTGTTCCTGTAACATCTAAATATATTAATCAAATTCAAAACATTTAATTACTGTTTGTTTGTTGTGTTTCATTTAAACCGTTGCTCGCAACGGAATCATGTGTGATTAAGATAAAAAAAGACTTACAATCTCGAGAATATTTCTCCTCTGTTCCTCGTTGGGTAACCGAATCGCAAAACGCTTTGGCATGCGACGGAGAATTGCGTAATCTATTTTGTTTTAAAAAGTCAATAAATAAAAAAATATACGCAGTGACTCTTGATATAACGTATTGTTTGGCAATTAGAGAGAAATTAACTAAAATCCGCAATATTGGGAGTTTATTAGTAAATCCATTATATCAAGCAGAATTACTATTGATGTAATTTGAATTTGACCCATTATATTTAATCTCTGTTATATCGAGAGCACTGTGTAATTCGATCGTGAGATTTAAATATATACCAATATCATTAGGTCTATTCGTGGCACCAAGAACCTAAATAAACGTTGCAAAAGTTAGTCATTGGTGGAATAGAGAGTACGCTTAAAATGACGATGATAAGCTACTCACAACTATGCGTGAGTTTTCATCTGTCGTAAGTCCATCCCATAAACTATCAGAATCAAATGAGTCATATTAAATTGATTAAGTTAAATATTCTTATATTAATTAGTTCAACATATCTACCTCATAAATTCAGCCTTCATCATTCCAGTAACTTCATGATCGTTACTTCGCCTCTCCCTCAAAAAAGCATCAATCTCATCAATGAAAATGATGCATGGCTGAATCTTTTTAGCAACAGAGAAAACAGCAGAAACCAATTTGTTTGACTCCCCAAACCATTTATCCGTTAACGTTGAAACGTGAAGATTAATGAAAGTGGCACCAGATTCCCGGGCAAGAGCTTTAGCAAGCATAGTTTTACCACATCCTTTTTATCAGAAAAAAGGATACAATATAATTATATGAGAATGTATGAATATAAAAAGATTTTAATCAATTATTCAATAAGTTAGTACCTGGTGGTCCATGAAGCAATACTCCTTTTGAAACTCCCAGTAATCCTGATGTCGAAGTGAATAATTGTGGATAACATAATGGATAAATAACAGACTCGCGAAGAGATTGAATGATTGGATCAAGACCTTCAAATGGAATCTGTAATTAGCTATTTAATTAAATATTTCAATGTAAAAAATTTTTTTGATAAAGAACATTACCACCAATTTCTAATATTAATGAAAATAGATTAGATGTTTTTCGTAACAGAACTTGTTAATGGTGCAATAAAACATACGTTTAAAACTAACTGCTATTTCATCAGGAAAGATTACTTCCGACAAAATCACCTCTTCATATTCATTCAATTTTAAATTTCGAGCCTGTTCAAGTTAAACAATAAATTTGATTAACATCTCAAAATACAGGTAAAATTTTAAAAATACATACCCCAAGTTTCCCCAGTACTTCTTCACTTTTAGCCTTAGCTTCTCGCTTCTTATCTTTAAGAGGATCAAGTGAATTGAGAATAAACTTTACGGCAAAATAAAGCGCTACCTGGGACAGTGCAAATATGACTACTATAGATCATATTCGTGAAAATATACTTTTGTTGAGTAATGAAACATGCGAATAACATATTTTTAGGTGATCAGTACAGAGAAGTATCTTAACAATTTTACCGTCCGCCACATATTTCCTTGTGTTTGGTGGTGCCATCAAATATGATCAGTATTCTTTTCTTCGTGTTGGGTTAATAAATTTGGAAGTATTTAAATTTGAATGATTGATCACATGAGATATGGACTGCGGAAACAGTAATTATTGCTAAATTGAGTAAAATTATCCAAGATACAAGTAAATTTGCCTTCCCAGCATTTTTTTGATTTTGCTTCGTCGAAGCTGCTATTTCGAGTACTTCCACAGATTCGTTGACAAAGATAATTGCTCTGTGGTTAAACTTTTTTATAAAAATGATGACATTATGTGATCCATCTTTTAAAACATGCTGAAACCAGCGTAATTATCCTATTAGTTTGCTCACGGTAAATACTCTCAACAGAGGGATAGTAGCAGTAGTGTAGTAGTGTAGTTTATCCCAGAAACCTACATATTGATGAGAAAAGTTTACCGCCTGCAGGGAATTACGCTGTTTAGAGCAGGTCTTTTATCTATAATGTAGTTATTTAATACAAAGAGTTTTATTTAAAGTGATGGTTATATATTTTTAATAGTGTAAGGCCACTCCAAATTGAGTTTTTGTTTAATATAATAACATTAAATAAATTATTAGAGTAGGGGGAAGAGCATAAAAAATATACAAATTAAAAAAAATATAGCAATTCTATTGGTGGTAAAAAAATATAAAAAATATAAAAAGTTAATACTGCAATCTAATTGGTTGTGATATATATTTTTTATAAATTTTTGAAAAATTATATTATTATTAATAAACAAATCATATACCCCAAGTACATGGGTAGAGCCGTGGCATAGGTTACTGAAGTCTAGATAAAGAACACATGTGTGGGACATGTGATATCTAGCAAAATGGAAATATCCCGCCATCCAATGATCCGGAGGTACCTGGAGTCGGGGTAAGCAAACTTCACGGGATGTGAAGACCAATAGGGGTTAATACGACTATACTAGGCTGTAAGGTTTGGTACGTCTCACTCAAAGTGGTTCTAAAAATTCAGGAACTGAAACACCGCAGGGGGAGGGACCTGGGACATCTGCAGTAAGGGATGACTAATTAGAAAGGTTGTGGCTTGAGATACAGATCAGGTTTCAGCAGTACCTTAAAAGGTAGCTTGAGATACAAACTCGGTGATGGCAGCATAACAGGTACTAGTTAGGAATTTGTAACCAATGATGTACTAAAAATCTTGTAAAAATAATGTATATTCGTGTACATTCCATTATAATGAGTAATAAAGAGGCAGTGTCGTTAAAAAAAAAAATAATAAAAATAAATAAATCAATATATGCCAAATGTATTTAATACTAGGCTAATGCATAGTATTGTGAGTTTGAAACAAAAAATATTTTAAAATTTAAATTTTTAAATAAAACTAATTAATTATTTTAATATAATATATAATATCGGGAAACTAAATATGGTGCAGATTTGCACAGATCTGTGACCCTGGAAATTTTTATTAATTTTACAATATCTCGTAATATATCAATTAGAATTTAACGAATCTGGTACCATTCGAACTATCTCGATGAGACAGATCGAATAGTACTAAATTTATTAAAATTCGATCACTGTATAACAAGATTATACATGCCAACGAAATTATTTTGGGTTCTAAAACCCGAAATTAAAATTTGAAAATGAAATTGTTTTTGACCTATTTTATTTAAAAGACGAAATTTTTTGACACTTTTTTTGAATAGACAAAATTATAAAGAGTATAAATATACAAATTTTATTTACTCTTTCTTATAAAAAATTTTAATTTGCTCTAATGAAGACGAAATAGGCCTTTTTTAAAAATTAATTTTGGTGGCATCACTAAATGAGATAATCGCATTTAAGTGAATTTTTCAGCCACTTCACAATCTTGTTAACTAGTGGTCCGAATTTAATGATTTTGGTACCATTCAATTCCTCTCGATAAAACAGTTCGAATGGTACCAAAAACAGTAAAATTAAATTACTAGTTCATGATTCATAGCGCAGTTTTGCACAGATCTGCACAAAAAAATTCGCAGATTTGTGTAAAACTGCACTATGAAACGTATTCTGTGAATATTTCACAAACCAAAACACTATATATCACAACGTCGTTGATAGGGACAGATCCAGGATGTAGGTGAGATTTTCCGGGTCATGTGATCAATCGATCTTCGGTCTTATCTCGGGATCACGTAACCATGTCGGCTCTTTTCTGTTACATGGATCAACGTAACAAAAATAAATACACACACAGATCTTTTTTTTTTTTAACCAACCTTTTTTTTTTTTTTAACATCGCCGGTCGTCGTTGGTGTTGTCGCCTTTTTTTACCGTTAGTATCATCTTTGGCTTTATTTTTGGTTTCTATTGTAATTTCGTTATGTCTTTATTTTTTTTTATACTGCCATTTCATTTGTAGTGTTTTGTTTTTTTTTTCTATAGTGCCATCGTTTTGTCCATTTGCCGTTTCGTCCTTTCACTGTTTCGTCCTTTTGCTGTTTCGTCCTTTCATCCTTTTATCATTTCGTCAGTTCTTTGTTTTGTTGTCAGTGCCTAAATCGTATTACTGTAATTTAGAAATAGAGTTAGTATTAGTTAATAGCGGATTTAAATGTTAAGAATTAAAATAAAGA